CTCCTGCCTTTGAGTAGATCCAGCTTTTAAGTCTTAGCTATAACTTTACCAGGGCAGGTTATAACATACATTTTCCAACTGCTGGCCCTCTGCCTTCTATAGCTATCTTCAAAGCTGAAGTTTGAACTGCGATATCTGCTTGACAGGTATTAGGTTCCTCTTGGCAGGGGGAGATCACTGCTTTGTATCTTCCATTGCCTCAGATTCCTGTGGCCCCAACAATTCCTCCAATCCTCATTCCCCCTAAATATGTTAAAAGTCCATTATTGTGTATATTAAAGTAGTATTGTGGCTATTACACTGTAAGCATATTTATGTGCTCTTTTTGTCTGGTTTATTTTTCTTTTCATCATGTATAATCGAATCCAGCATTAGTTTCTCACATCTTCCACAAGTGTCTCCAACAGAATCTTTATGTCCCCGCTTGTGTTAAATAGAAGTGAAATATTAAGGAAAATAGATTTAAGGGAAACTTGTACAACTTTTTTTAAGCATTGTTGTCAACCATTTAATTTATTGAAAGGAGATGCTGCTGTGGTTCTTGATTTAGCAGCAACCATTCTTCCGTTTACATAGAGTTATGGTTTTATTTGTTGTTTTGCTCTATACTGGAAACATAAATAAAGTTTTCTACATTATTTTCAGTCAAGAGTTGTGGTATAGTTTCTTTATGTTTGTAGTGATAATGCACGTTGTCTTTCTGGGCTGTGTCTTCTCACCATGGAGAAAAGAGCGCTTTGGTTCTTTTCAGCGTGAGTGATAATGTTCGGGGAAACATGCTGAGGAGGAGCCGCTGGGCGTAAGAAAGGTTGGAAATGAGATCCAGATACATAGGCACCAGGGGCTTCTTTCTCAGGCTCACAAAAGCAGTCCTCCACCACTGAACTCCATCCTCTGAAACAGAGTAAACAGAGTGGGAATGAGGAGTGAAATAATTTCCTGAATCAAGTACTTACTACTTTAATCACAAGCTCTGTTTTGTTTTATCCTTAAAAAAAAACCAAAAACTTCCTAATGGATCTTATTTCTTAAGAAATGAGCTCTAATTCCAACTCTAATCCCCCACCATCAAGTGGTCAGCAACTTACATTACAACTGGCCTCCAATTTAACTTCTTTTACCTTACCTCAGGGGGCTCAATGAAGGCTAACCAATCTGATGCATGTGTAGGCAGTAGTCCCATAGACTGGCACTTATACACAGCCAATGCCAAACCCATGAGGTTCCCGATGAGATACACCAAACCCTGAAGAAACTTCTGGCTTGAACTTTCTAGCATCTTGAAAGCTGTTGGGGTAACAGAAAGCATCAAAAACAAAACTTGTTTTCAATGTGAATCAGGCCATATATTAAAATAGTATCAATAAGAGAGTAAGACCCATAGTAAGATCACAAATAGGACCATTAAAAGTGAACAAAAAAATATGATAAACAACTGTTTTGCCCACCATGTCACCACCACTACCATCACCCTGCACAGCATCCCCCGCTACTAGCCAAGAGCCATGCCAAAGATTTCCAACATGGGTTTTGCCTAAGAATTTGCCTTTAATTCTTAAA